TTCCCAATATATTAAAATCAGGCCTATCAGCATATATAAAAGCGAGAAAAGCATATGAATTTATTTGCACGTGCATCACAGTCTTGCATAACTCAAGCTATTCTATCCTGCATTCTATTAATGTAACATTCAGCTAAAGAAGTGACTGAATAGCTTTAGACTTTAGGAAATTGGACAGTCAAGGAATTTTCAGTTAATATTTTCCACTGCCGACTTACGGGCCAATTATTTTACCACCTATTATAATGTGAAACTCTATTGCCCACCCGCTGTTCAAAATTAATCTCTCAGGCTTAGCCAGCTTTTCTTGAAACAAAAGCAGGTCGAGGCTGATTTGATACCGCTGCCCTCATGTTCAAAGGATAGTTATGGAATGCTTATCCATATATGTAACCGTACCGTATATTTCAAAATGGCTCTTGTTACCAGAAGAGGAAGTGAATGATATCCATTTTCCATAGGTACCTAAATGATCCAATATTAATGGATTTCAAGGGCAGTGCTCCACCTGAAACCCTTATCCGTTTATATGCATCACAATTTAATGCTGAATGCAAAAAGTAGTTACTTGAAGGAAGACACCAATGGCACGCAAAGTATACTCCATCTCAGTTGAAGGTAGACGGAAAGTAAGTTTTGAGGTCGCTGCTGACCTGCCAGTGTCTATTGGCTCTCCAGAATCCTGCACGGGATCGGATGGAGGAAGTAGAAGAACAGCATCCCTAAGTAAGACATCTAGTCGCAGAACACGACTGCTCAAGCTGCGAATTTCTTGTTCAAAGAGCTCAAGAAAGCTATCTTCGTTCTATATCCACGGGTTTAAGGAAAAAGAAATAAAAGGACCAGTATAGATCTATTTCTAATAAGGGGAAGCAAACCAAGAAATTTAAAAAATACATAAAAGTAAAGAAATATAAAATACAAATATATAAATAGCTATAAAGTATGCCTTATTTAGTGGGATTATTCCTATTTATTACTAAAAGGGAGTGCCCAAAGGAGTATAATTAAAGTTTTACAAGAATAGATGGCTTAATTAAAAGTACATTCTTCTTAAAAATGGGTCTTTATACTTACAAGAAGAGATAGGGATAGCAATAAAAAGGAAGTAACTCCGATCAACTCAAAGGTATTTCATCCCCATTCCCATTAATTCATTCAACTTGGCTCATTCAACTTGCCAAATCCTTATAGGTAGGACAAAAAACATTCTGGGCATTAAAAATGTTTCCGAAAGAATTTATAAATATGTAGAAAAACTGGGTCTATAAAAATCCCTAAATAGATTGATATCGGAATACCTTTCATTTCATCTGAAGAGGCGAGTGGAAGAGATTAGTAAGTTAGTCTCACCTGAAGCTGTAGGGGGATTGCCTTGGAGTTGTGATTGTAGATTTTTGCAAATTGGTCCTCGACGCAGCGCCCTGTGATCCCGATGAATACTTGTTGAGCTTTCATCCGTCAGAGCAGGACACCATGCTTAACGATAATTCACCAAAAACACGAGGACAAGGAAGGTGGCCGGTTTCAAACCTACCTACTTTTTATAGTCTAATTTAGTCTAATTAGGCATATATATTTTGGTTGAATATCCTATGCTTTGTCGGGCTTACTTTCATTTCGAGTGAAATTGTTTGATGGAGGGATTCGAAGATCGATCCCACCAGAAAACGACGGTGAATTCCTCTTGATCAGCTGTCGATTGGCTTTACTGGAACATTCCTGCTGACGCTGCTTTCCTTCGATTCCCGTGAAAACGTGCTAAGCTTTCGTCTGTCGTATGCCGAACATCATCAGAGCAGAGTATCATCCTTACAACCAAATTCAAGCTAACGAGTCAATAAAACTCACCGGCTCATCCTTAAAATGCTATATATATATATATATATATATATATATATACTCTATATATGAGCTCTTTGATGAGGTATAAAGTGATGTGGTTATTTCCAGTCATATGCCAACCTCGGAGCATGTGAATGTGTCTGTCTCTATATGTGTATGTGCCTACATATATTCGCATATGGACGAAGCCAGCAGACTGGTTTCACCCTTAATTTCCAATCCAACCATAGCTACAAAACAAAGGCTGACGTTTTAAAATATATGACTGTCCTAAGCATAAGACTAGTCGGTAGCGACCATTGTGATAATGAAAGAAAACGGATCAAACTAATATTTCTTTTATTAGAAAATAACCGTATAGGTTTTACAAAAAAGCACAGCCAAAACAAAAGCTCTTAGTCAAATATAGGTAGTTACTTCGCAACCTGTAGATGTGGGAAAGAATTGCATCAACTAGAACGTCGTATTAAGGCAAAATGACTGCAGTATAATGCTAATCAATCGACGTATTCTGGTCAAACTGTTCTATGAATCTCTACATCATGTACCTCCATAACAAAATATAGTTTCACCCATCTAGTCAATTTATTTCCTTTTTACATATAGTAATACAATGCAAACGAGTTTTTGGTGAAAAACGAAGGAGAAAAGCGAGTGCATGAGACTTAGGACTTACTCTAAAGTAGCTGCGCAAAAGCACAGTTCCCTTCTCTTTTGCTGCATATAATTGAGCCAAATGCTGATCCGTTAACTGACATCCATTTTCCTTGTCACATGTCAATAAGATCATTAAATTGAGCGCTAATTGAAGAGTAAGCAGACGGACACGACTCTCTGGATGAGTTAGAAAAAAAAGATTAAAGATGAAAATTAATAAGGAAGGAATAAAAGCATAATAGAGAA